CCCCCCCCCCCCCCCCCCCCCCCGCCGTACGCCGTGAACAGTATCGCGCTTTGGCGCACACACGGCCTTTTACGTAGCGGCCGTCATGGGCGCGGCGTGGCTGGCCGTGTGGATCTGCTTAGGCTCGGATGCTCCTCACTCGCGAAGAGAGGGGGAAAAATTCAACACGAAGGCGTTGCGTCCCCGCGAGGGTGTAGGGGTTACGGCGGGGGAAGACACTGACGTCGACGGTACGACGAGGGCGGGATCGGAAGACGGATTGCCGAGGCCGGATGCGGGAGACGGGAGTTGTTGGGTGGCGGCGGGGCTAGGGGAAGGAGGCCCCGGGGATTGGTCGTTTCAAAACCCGGCGGCAGGCTCGCCCTCGGTGTGCCGAGACCCTGCGCTGCTGCGGAGCAGCAACCACGGCTCAGGATGCTCCGCAGAAAGAGGGGGCGGAGGCGGGGGCGTGTGTCTGGATTGCGTTGAACGCGCGCCCACCGAAGCCGACGCCGCCGCCGGTCGCGTTGTTGATCCCGAGCCGATTCCGCCGGGCGGCGGTGACGACACACCTGTTGGCGACGCCTGCGGGGGGGGGGGTCCTGCTTGCGGCCACAAGTCCACGGTAGTCTGTGGCCTCCTCGTTGCTAAGAGCGCCGCCCTCTCGTGGGACGAATCCAAAAAGGTGGCAGTTGTGTGCGATGGGAGGACGGAAGGGGCCCCCCCCGCCGACGCCGCCTCCGCCACGAGCACGGATAGCGACACTCGGGCGGCGATCGCCGGCGGCGACGGCGGTGATAGCGGTCGAACCACCGGTGGCGGTGATGGTGGTGGTAGCAGCGATGACAGTGGCAGCAGCCATGCGGCGAGTCTTGCAGCCCTGGAAGGCGTTTGCGAGCCCTCCAGCAGCGGGAGGGGAGGCCGGGCGGCAGCGAAGACAACCGTTGTGAAGGCCTTCGAACGAACCGCGGCCCCTTTTCCGTGGAGGGCGATGGCCGCTTGCCCCGCGGCGTGGGCGTTCGTGGCCGGCAACGTGGGCGCGGGGATGGGCATCAACGTGGTGATGAGCTGGCTGCCGACGTACTACGAGGAATTCGTGCTGGTCGATCTTGAAGACATTCACATCGCTGAGCTGGTAAGTGGATGGATCATGAACATTTGTTTCGCATGAGAGGGATGGGACGGAGGGGAGGGGGAGGGGGTGGGCGCAGAGAGAGACGAAACAACATGGGATGACTGTTCCTTACATCTGTAGGCCCAATAATGCATCGTGTTCTTCCGTGCGAGCTTTCTGCCTCCGCTCGTTCCCACCCTCCCACCTTCAGAAGTCGGCCTGTTATTGTCAGCGTTTGATTTCACCAAATTTCCGTAGGCACACATGAATCCCCCGCCCGATGATTGCTGCCGCACATCGAACGAATGTATCCCCCCCCCCCCCCACAACCCCGCCCGCTTTCACGTATTGGCCACGCGACGTCTATCCTCTACTGCAACTCGCTGCTCAACCATATCACGCGTCCCTGAACCCGTCCCTGAACCCGCTGCCATCGCGATTCCGTCATCGCAACACTCTTTTTCTACCTTCCCCGACGTAACGTAAAAATGGAACCACCACCACCCGCTGAGAGCAGCTCTCGCCCTACCTGACCATGATGGCGTTCTCCGTCCTGGGCGGCGTCTCCTACTCGTGGCTCGTCAACGGCCGCGGCCTCCCGAGGGCGCGGTCCTCCAAGCTCGTCGCCGGGGCCGCCTTCTCCCTCTCCGTCGCCGTCTTCCCCTGCATGGGCCTGCCCCGAAGCTGCGCCGCCGCGACCGTGGTGTCCTCGCTGGCGCTGGCGAGCGCCGCCCTCTCGAGGGGGGGCTGGTCGACCAACCACATGGAGATCGCCGCCCCTGAGCACGCGGCGATGCTCTACTCGGTGGCCAACTCCATCAGCGCGGCCGCGAGCGTGCTCGGCATCTCCCTGACGGGGAAGCTGCTGGACACGTTCGGCGGGGGCGGGGAGCCGCAGGCGTGGACCGCGGCGATGGGCACGATCGGCGCCCTGTGCGGCGCCTGCGGTGTCCTGTTCGTCCTCTTCGCCAGAGGGGATGAGGTGCTGTTTCCCGCCACCGCCGGCGATGCGGATCTCGCGGATGTAGAAGAAGGAAACGAAAAGCGGGAGGGGGGGGGAGCGGGCGAGTGGGGGTGGGGGTGGCGGTGCTGCAGGAAGGAGGACGGGATGCCGAGCGAGTGGCCGCGGCCCTTGGGCTGGAGCGACGAGAATTCGGTGTGAAAAGAGAGGGGGGGGTTCGTTCTGTCTTTTGGCAACGGCACGGCGCAGGCCTTGGTTATTTTTGGGTGTGTTTGTGTGGAGAGACTCAAGTGTTTTTTTTTTCTGGTCGGTGTGGTCAAGGTTCTGTTCATGGAGGGCCTTGCGTTGTCGTTTTGATGTCGCTTGTTGGATGTGTTTGTGTGGAGAGATCATAGTGACTTTTTTCTGGTCGGTGTGGTGGAGGTTCTGTTCATGGAGGGCCTTGCGTTGTCGTTTTGATGTCGCTTGTTGGTTGGGGGTAGAGGAGACGGTGGGGGCAGAAGGGATAGCCACTCACTCTGGGCAACAACAGCGGGACTACGCGCGGCGCGGGTTGTGTCTCGCCGAGGTATTGGACCACTGCTCTCGACGGTAGACTCTCGGCCCGCTGTGTCGAGCTCGTTGCTCGTTGCCGTAGCCGGACGGACGATAATCTTGGCGGTACGCATCTCTTATCTTGCGTGCCAAGAAGAAATCGTGCCCCCACCCCCCCGTGCAATGACGTCGAGGCCGTCCTCAAGTCCGGCGACGTGGCCGAGAGCGGTATTCTATTGATCGGGCATTTTCATTTCGTAGCACTTTTTTTTTTTTAATCGTTTTTGACACCATGTTTAAGCGCGCACTCGTGCGCCGTAGGATACCCCGGGCGTGATGGAAAGGGAGGGATGTGCTGCAAGGAAAGTAGGCGTTCTTGTCTCCTATGAGACGCCCGCGGACTTGAATTTTCTTGGGGGGCCGTCAGTAACGGCTTGCTCCCTGTCGCTCTTCGTACCGTTTCCCCGAAACGTGTTCCGAGCACCTATTAGAAACGCCTCTATGCCGGTCATGCGAAACTACAATAGGAGGAGACCGGTGTTTTTTGGTTCATCCATATGAGAGTTGTGGACTGTTGGGGCATCATGAGTACTACTGTGTTTTTTTTTTCTTTATTTTCGAATATTTTGAGGTGGTGGGGTGGTTGAACACCGTTTGGTTTCCCCCGCGTGTGTTACGCGTGCCGAGCGAGAAATCATCCCCCATCGGTAGTGCGCAAAGGAATCCGTTTCTGTTCTCCTCTATTTTAGAATTGAGTACGAACTGATCAATCCATCTCGGATCGGAGGCACTAGCAGGAGGAGACAAGCCATAGCTTTGTCCATAGGTGCTGCGCCAATATGTTCGCAGTAGAGGATCTCTCGAATCGGCGTTTTGGCTTACATCTTTCGCGTGTGGCATGTCACCGCGGCGCTCGTTCGTTTTGTGTTTTCTTTGTCGCGAAAAAACGGGGAACAACGTGACAACAATCGTACGGATGTGCTCGTCATCTGGAGGTTGGATTTAGAAGAGCGTTGTTGGCGTTCGCTCGCTTGAGTGACAGTGATTGTTTGGGACTGCAGTCACCTCGAGAAGAGGACGCATCACTGCTCTTTCGTGCAGCATGTGTGCTTACTATTGTTAGCTTGGGGTTGCTATTTAACTAGTATCGTATCGTCGTGTCGCATCGTAAAATACGCATCGTCAATAGCGTAAGCAGAATGTAAATGTTTGGCACAGACAGGACCGCTCCCAGGCGCGCTCGGCACTGGAGGCGGCGGAGTCTACAGTAGCAGTAGTCCATCTGTTTATCGAACGTTTCTGTTGTAGAATGGTGAGGTCTCGTACTGTTTTCGGGGGGCGGTTGCGGCATGGTTCACAGTCTGGAAACCCCGTGTGTCCGTTGAGGTTTGTTGCATGTGTTGATGGTTTGCATGTTTGTGCTTGTTTTGCTGTCACTACAGACGTTGGCTGGTGTGGTTTCTACGTATTTGCTGTTTCCGTATGTTTATGTATGTGATGCCGTTCATCGTTTTTTCATTCGTTGGCTCCCGAACACGAAGAAATAGAGGATAATGATCGATCACGGTCGACTACTGTTGTAGCATGATATACGCTTGTTTCCACACGAGATTTGAGAAAAGAGAGACAACGTGAAAACTCGTCGCTCTGCGTTTCGTGGCGTATGTAAGGGCAGACGTTGGCATCGACGATGTGTTTCCGGGGGGATCGAGGAAAAAATAAAAAATAAGTGGGCAACTGCTGTTGTTCGCAGGGGAGTTCTCCATGTGACCCGTGGGCTGTACCGCCTCCTCCATAGAGAAAAGGTCACTTGTGCGATGTGTGGGAGGACGCTGCAAGCGACTGACTAAAAAAGAGAGATTTTATAGGAACTAGGGACGACGAGGCGTGGTAACAGCAGCGGGGCCTCGCACAACTACACGTAGATGCTGTACGTATTCAGTTTCATCAAGATATAGCTGAGGTGCGTGCTCGCCCTCCCCCTTCACCCCCTCGCCAATAGGCACCGGGGGGACGGACGCCCCGGCGACGCCGTCGGGCCGGATCGAATACTGAGCTGCGACTTGCGGCAACAAAGTCCGTTTTTGTAAAGGTAAAGCTCACGTGGTGCGCCCGCCCCCATCCACTTGCCCATTACGAGCCTTGTGTCTCCGCATGCATCGGGAAGGTGTTGAAGTTGGACAATCGTTTTTTTTGTCGGGGCGGGAATTTTTCGATTTTTTTCGGGCAGGCCGATCCGCCCCGATGGTGCAGTTGGTAACCTCGAAATCTTCTAACCCTCTCTACTCTCTACATAGGTTGTGGTTTCAAATCTCTCGAGAATCGAAAAATTCGTACTATAACGGCGGAGAGTATACAAAAAGGAGGGAGAAATTGTTGAACACCCTAAGCCCCGCGCAGGGGGGGGGGGGGGGGGACGGAGAAAAAAACCAAAATCCTGTGTTTTCCGTCCTCCTGCATGACCCCGGCTGGTGCCTAAACAAATACCCAGAATAGATGGGATGAAAACAATAATAACAACGATAACAATCGGCCCAGAAGAGATGTGGTCGAAATCAAGAACCATAACAACAACAACGGTACCGGTACGTACGTAGGTGGTCCCTAGGCTCGAGAAGTAAGGTTGCAAACGGTGAGTGATGCAGTTTTGCGGGAACAGAGGGCAACATGGTAGCGTGCTCGACTGTGCCATATTTTCGTCCGCGCAAAAAAGATTTAACGCCAGGAGAGGAGCATGTATAAACTGAGTTGGAATCCTACCTCCAGTCTCGTGTGAACAGTGAACGGATGTAAATATTTACCTGCTGGCGGGACTGTATGCTTCGCCGCCGTAAATATTCTCGTAGATCTCGTAGATCTCACCGTAGATCTTCACCGTAGATCTCGTACATCTCTGATTCGCCAGTCCGCCAATCTGCAGTCTACCCCGCACTGAGCTGAGTTGTGTTGAGTGTGCAACACACTAGACCCAACCGCGGATGAACATGTGGCGCTTGAACTGGATCCACAGTACTGTGCTATGTCTCGCCATCCTAGGCAAGATCCGCGTTGCAAGCACTCAAGACAACGAGATCGAGGTAACGTTGACCAGGTGAGAGATCCTGCACATTAGTTGGACACCTCCTGCAGATACAGGTACCCGGCAGCTTACCCTCTGGGTGGCACACCTCCTCCCGAAGACAACTTCACCCACTCAATCAGGACGTAGAATCGCAGATTTGCAACCGGGTTGCGCCAAGGACATTCCGTGAGGCCGTTGAAATGGCAGGGGTTTGCGAAGAAGACGGTCAGGTAAAAGCAGATTGTGGACGACGTCTGTTCCTACATACAGCGGGCTACAGTACCAGGTACTGCTGTAGATCACGCACCTTTGTGTTTCCATAGCGTTCTCAGGCAACGTGGTTGTTCATTCTCGTTCTTTGAGCATCGCATCCTTCAACGAGATCGCCGAGAGAAGATCACAACGAAATAGAATTACGAAATGCATACATACCAGCATGAACTTCTGTGCGAATGCAACTTTGCGCCGGGTGCCGTGATTTTGAAAGAGCAGAAACCCTCCCGTAGACTACTGTAGTCTACAGTATCCCGGCAAGACAAACATGTACATGTTATTGAATTTGACAGTCAAACTTGCGAGATACTCTCTGATTTTCCAGCCCTTCCTTCCGACCGACGCCAAAAATGGGCATCAACCTCCGTGTGGGTGCTGTGGAGCGGTTCGAAATTTTGAGCACAAACGTGTCTTATAAGTCCTAACTATAAGTGTATGTACAACAGTATTGTAGCGATGTCCGTACGACCATTGCAGGCTGTTCGGCGGCCAAGTTCAAATGATATACTCTGTCAAGGGGGGGCGAGGAAGAAGGGTTATCCCGGTCATCCCCAACGGAAGGTAGACGGTAAATAAAGACGACTGTGTGGTATGCACGCAGTACTCTACCCCCAAGACCGTGGAACACTGCTGTGCACCATTCGAGACTACAGTAGACGTTATGTCTGGCCTCTTCGTTTTCTCTCTCATGGGTCTTCATTTGACCTTGAAGGGGTCCTATTTGTTCACACCTTCACCTTCAAATGCTTTTGACGCTTGTGATATCGCACTGTCCACCACCGCCGGTGCTTCGTATGCACAGGGGAACGACTGGACTCGGCATTCACCTGGTCAGCGAGTCGAAAACAGGATCACTGCTGAGGGGTGCCGTGGTTGACAGGTACAGTTTTGCATGCACACAAGTGTCGCCGTTGCACCACAATACCGCATCCAAGCCGATGCGATCACGGTGGCCCCGCCCAACCAACTCTGTCAAAGGTAGCAAGCACCCCTCTGACGCGCAAGTCACTTCGTCCGCGCACCCAGGGTGGTACCCGAGAGCGCTGCTTCGTTCGTGCTGCTCAAGGGAGACATTCTCACGACGGTAGCTGGTGTGGAGATCCGTCAATGGGCCCTGGACAACATTAACCGTCTGCTGGAAACTCAGGTCCGGGTCAAGATCAAGTTAGTGAGGGCACCCCAACTCGGCGAGATAGGCTTCGGCCCAGAGGAAGGAGAAGGGGGAAGAGCGGAGAGTGCATCATGCTACGCGAGCATCGAGGGAGATGTCGACGACTTGCACGCCTTTGCATGTACCCCTGCGGCGTTCGGCAGCGACCTCCCCGCCTTCTCCTTAGAGAGCTCCGCTCTCCCCATTGTCGTTGCTCAGCCCCTCGATCACTGCAAGAGAAGCAGCTTCGACGCTAGTGGATCCGCGCTCTTGGTCTCAAAGGGGGGGTGCCTGCCAGGTGCAAAGGCCGCCAACGCTGCTTGGAATGGTGCGGAGGTCATGATCTTGGTCGACGGTCAATACCCCCCGCTTCCACCCTTGCCGAGTGTCGCTGGCAAGAGGGTTTTGCCCCAAAGTTCGCGCGACACCTCGAAGCTCCATGGCATCCCGGTTGTAATCGTCAGCAATGCAACAGGGTATCGAATGATCTCCGAAGTGCGAGAGAGGGGCAGAGAGGTGCTGACTTTTGCTCATTCAGGTCCGCATCCGTCCAGGTAAGCTGCCGTCCGCCTTGAGGGTACTAGCAGGGAAAATCGTAAGTCAAGTGGCGGGGTGGTGAATCCTCCCCCGCCCCCTCCCCGAACCAAAGCTAGGAGATGTTCCCCACGCGGCATGCAGAGCTTCTTCGTCTGCGAAAAACGTGCACCGCGACTGGTTCGCTGTGGTTGTGTTGAGAAACGTTGGACACGACCAACAGCATTTATGCACCGACCGTGACACGTCACAGCTGCTGCTGCTGCTGCTGCTGCTGCTGCTGTTGCTGCTGTTGCTGCTGCTGCTTCCCTCTCGGACAGGCCGGCTACCAAACCTCGAAAGCAGATACCGGTGGACGAGGCAGAGAGTCTTCGGGTTCGTGAGCATCCCTTCAACCTCAGATCTCTGTTCCGGGACGGTGAGATCGGGATCGAGTTTGGGAGCCCGGGGTTGCCCAAGGGTCAGACACCGACAACCCATCTGGCGGTGTCGTGCGAGCTATCAACTCTGCTCACAGGTATAGGTTTGCGCGTGTGTCTCTCTCTTTACTGTTAGCATCGACCGCGCTACATAACCGGCTGACCAACGAAAACACGTCAGTCTCAGTGTGGTTGAAAACAGAACATGCTTCTAAATGCCATGATCTGGGACCCCGTGAGGGGGCGTCTCTGTCTTTGTGTGTCTGGTGACTCGCTGCTGCAGTATCATCCGTCTTGAGTATTCCGTCGTCGCGTTGACTCGTCGCCGTACGTCAGCCAACCGAAAGAGCCCCTCGTTTACTCCCGTGGGAGTGCGGTGCCATGGTGCGGTCGCCTGCTACTGCTGTAAGGGGTGCTCTTTTCGGTGTGTCTTTATTATCCCGCGCGTTCCCGCTTCCTTCTAGGCCTTCAGAGAAGGGTACCCTTCGGTAGGACGGTTCCCTGCCCGGTGTGCAACGGAAGGGGAGCTCCCGCAGAGGCAATGCGCCCGTGTAAAGCATGCAGGTACGGTACGCTCGTGAAACCACCAAGTCCTGAAATGGCTCTGTTATCTCCAGGATGAGGGTAGTCATTCGAACTACATATACGGCTTGATCTCTCGTCCGAAACGAGACACTTACATACCTCGTGTCTTGGTCATGGCACGCCGTCAGCACTCACTTACGGAGGGCACAGAAACAAGTAAGTAGACCGCCGCTGCGCGGGACGATACGCCATATACGTGCACTCAACATGCTGAGCCCTGCACCCCCTATTGATGCCGGGCAGCTCTTCGGGCGAGCCGGGCGTGGCGGCCGCAGCCCACGATCACAGCCACGAGGTGAAGCAATCTCTGAGGACCACTTGCCCGCGCTGCCATGGGTTCGGAGAAGTCCCACAGTGGGGGCGTTCGTGCCAGCGGTAAGGGGTAAGAGGGCTCGTCCTTCGGTATCCACCTGCGACGTCTTGAACGTTTCGTTACGCGCAGATGCAAGGCGACGATCACACTGCTGTCCGCCGTGACATTCAAAGCTCGCCGTAATACATATAAGTGTCGGGCCTAGGTACACGGGTGTGCTCAGTAGGGCATATCGATGTACTCGGGGTCGATTTGTGAGTGCCACGCAGACTCTATTCAAGCACCCGCGTAGATTTGACGTGCCACCGGGATGCCCTCCGCACCCGGCGGATAGGAATCTACCTATACCCGAGTAGTACCAATCTACTCTTTCCCGCGTAGATGGGTCTGAAACGTGTTGCCGGCAATCTATTTCTATCAGGGTAGGTTTAGGAAAAGTGGCACCAACAACATCCGGCCTCGGGTTCCATGAAGAATTTCACTTCACAGCCGAGGATGCAAGAATTTTTCTGTTATCGCTCGGTCGCGAGGTTGCGGATACAGCAACATACATCTGTTACTTCTGCAAGTATTTACACATTTGTTCTTTTCGCGAGTGGCAGGACTACACATCTGCCGTTACTGCTCTCGTTCGTTTCACCCCGTTTTGGAGGTCAAGCCTCCTGAGCGTGTCCCTCAGCGGTCGCCGAGTCTGTGCAGGAAATGCGCCGCTTAGGCCATTTCTTTTACGGCTCTTTTTTGGGGATGTCTTTTACTTTTTTCCTTCTCAAAAAGAGACAACTCGCCAAAGAACACCTTCTTACGACGAGCGTTCGCTACTCCTGTCGGTACGGTGCGGGGCTGCATTATGATGTCGGGTGTGGGTAGCGGCGGTTCCGTCGAACAAAGGCCTGAACAAATGGGGTGGTCTACTCACAGGGGCTCACGAGAACTCGGTACTACTACCCTGTTTTTTCCCCCGTCACCCCGGGTGTCCCACTCGGAGACCCATACCCGGGTAGACAATAAGGACTGGCTCCCGGAGCTTGAAAACAAAAGTTTCTTCCTAGTTTCCCCGGGTGTTGGACAGGATGTGGAACGTCTCTCTCACCCTACCGTACCTCTCGGGTTTCGGTGGCGTTAGCGCACGCCCTGCGAAAAGACGCCCATCCCTGCTGGACATTCACCCACGTTTTCGGTCACTCTAATGCTCCAGATCCTGCCGCTACGCCGACATGCGGGTGGCGGTCGTCCGTGAGATCACCGATTTGTGTCTAGACTATATCTTGTTTGTTTTTTTTCCTCGGCGTAGGTGCAAAGGCGAACGCGTCATCCAGGAGTCCGGCTGGCTTGACCTGACAATCCCCAAAGGAGCACCCGACCAGCACAGGATTCACTTTCCGGGCGTCGGATCACACTTTCCCGGAAGGACGGCGGGCGACGTCGAGGTAGGGCGCCGATGCACTATGAGACAACCCCAAAAAGTTGTTGGTTTTGCGCATCGTGTATGGTCGTCCAAACCGAAATAACATTGTTCCGCGCTTGCTTTGGTGCGCCAGCATCATTGTACGGGAGAGAAGAGCGGGACCTTCGACAAGATCCTTCCTGTTTCGTCCTGAAGTGGTGATTGTATAATAAGCCGTGAAATCTGACATGTTTCTCGGGTGAACGGCCAGCCAAGTAGTGACACCGAAACACACTCTGAAACAGGTGGCGGTCAACTTCAGAACAAAAAAAAAGTAACGTTCCTGCCACCGCCTTCCTCAGGTGTTGGAGCACTTGCAACCGTTCCTGCTCCATCACAAACACGTACTTAAGATCGCGCTTTGATTTGGTTGGCTTGTTCCACAAAATGTTTCGCCGGCTTTCTTATGACGAGGGATTCGTGAGGCTCGAGTATATATCGCAACTTGCAACCCCACCCCCCCGCGTTTTTTGAAGGTCGCGATAAACATTGAGCCTCACGAACGGTTCATGCGAGACGGTTCCAATCTACGAATGGAATTACCCATTTCTCTCACGGAAGCTCTCTCCGGCTTTACTCGAGAGATCCAGCTGTTGAATGGGAGCACGGTCCTCCTCAACAGGACACGGGTGAGCGCCAAGAAACCGACATGAAAGTTAACGCGGGTTCCCGTCGCAAGGAAACGACGGGCAGGAATGGAAAGCGAAAGGCCCCTTATAAAGTTGACCACACAGAGATACATGTTTTATTGAGGTTGATACATACTTTAATACTGTCGTTCCTGCTTAGATCTTTGGGTGGGCTTGTTTCGGTGTGTTGTCACGTAGTTCAAGCAGTACACAAAAAACGCAACCCAACAAAACAAGGCGACATGATATCGCTTACTTTTGCCACAATTGCACAGATGATCAGCCACAATGGTGAGGTAGAAATCGAAGGAGGAGGGCTCCCGGTGTGGGATGGCGGCCGTGGGGCGGGCACTGGATGGAGCACACACTCGTCAACTAATGCCAGCGCACTCCTGGCCGACAAAACAGTTACTGGTTCGACGATCGTCACTTGCAGCGTTGAATTTCCAGATATTACAAGCGAACGTCTTCAGGGCCTCGACAGCGCTGGGGCTGCTTCAGACGAGTGACATCGAGAGGTTTTTCCTCCGCGCTTTGGCTCCGTGTCATTGTGGGTGCATGTGCCGCTGATACATGCCGCAGCAACCGAGCTTTGAAGAGACGCACGGGAGGACCGAAAACTGGCAATCACAGGCGTATCCCGTAGATAGATGTATTATGTGTTCTGAATGTTCCTTCCCGTATTGTCTGGAAAGTACCCTCCTCGTGCTTTCTTCGTAAGACGTTGAATTTGATCAAGAAACCCTATTTTGGCTTGTGATCCATGACTCACATTCATTCGTCGTAGCTGCCGATCTCTTTTTAGAGAGCTTGGCGCCGAACTCCGTTGCTGACCCTTCCCTTCAGCCGACTCGCTGATTTGATCCGTTCTAGAAAGTGAGATGGGAAAGGTGGGTGTTCATTGATACGGCGACATGACAGATATTCTTAGGACCGATACTTTTTAGAGACCTTGGCGCCGAAGTACACTGCTGACCCTTCCTATCAGCGACTCGCCGATTTAATCCGTTCTAGAATGTGAGACGGAAAAGGTAGGTGCTCATTGATAAGTCGACAAGTTGGCGTTTTTGCTCTATCAAGGCAGCCCTTCGGAGGATCGCTTGAGAAACCAACGCTACCCGTCTCCGCGGATTAGCGGCATCCAGTAGCCGGGCTCTTATCTCGCCACCACCGTATGACGATAAGGATTCATGGCGAAGCAACGGCGCGCTTACTCCACGATGCCGTGGCGACCTCCGTCTAGCATGCCCCTGTGGTGCACATTTGATTGGATGATTTAGCCTGCGTGTGGTGTTAGGGATGATTTAGCCCAATGGTGTAGGGATGATTTAGCCCAATACACAATACACGCAGAATCGCTGAGAACCAGGAAAGAGGGTGGCGGAGGTTAGTAAATGGGTTAAGTGAGTGGGGAGGCACATGCGGTGAGATTCGGGTACGCACTTCCGTACTGCTACTGCTGTAGTTCTAAAGTTCGTGCTCATATTGCTGCTCAACAGCAGTGAGTGGCGGGCTTGAATACAAAACCGCTGCCGATGTTCGGCACTCCAGCACGGCGGCTGCCCATTGTCGTTCCATGGAGGTTGGAGGTATACACTATCTTCAGTCTCCATTTACCTACATTCTGTGTACCTTGCTTGGCTTACGCCCCTTGTGTACCTTGCTTGGCGCCCTTGCAATTGCTTGGCGCCCCTTGCCGGTCTACGCATCAATGTAGGTTGTCTCTTTGGGACGGCTGTACGCGGCAGAAACTTCAGAATCGGCAAGCAACGAGCATACGGCCTGCCACTTGTAGTCTTGCAATGGTGCCTCCCTGTTTTCTTCAGGGCTGTCAGCCTCATTCACGCATCTGTGATGTTTCTTCCATACCTTCTCCGCTTGCCATCCTCCATCCTCGGCGGTCGCCACTTTGCCGGTGAAGAACCGTAAAATCGACGTGCAACACCCGGGGACAGAAGCATTGTATCCCCGCCCATCTACAAGTATCGGTCTCCGAGATCGTCCTATAGAGCTACCCGAACGCCCCAAAGCTAAGCAAACAGCACACGTTGGTGGACGCACACGCTTCGACAATCTGCACAGCGACCTGGGGTACTCCTTGGCAGCTGAGATGTCAGGTATGATGCAGTGTGACAGCAGTATCACTCCCGAGAAACAAGAAAGAAGAGGTGCGAAAACCCGCTGCTGCAGACACACATCTAATAATGCTGTCTCGCTGTGTTGGATGACACAGGATGTCACACCCCTTGGACCAATTCTCAAGCCTCTACCGCTCCACAGCAACAACAGTGGTGGTGCCGAAAAAAGCGGCGTCGGAGCCATATCGTCGACATCTTTCCGAAAACGTATCGTTTGACTTAGACATCCTCGTTGTCGTGGAGAAATCGAGCGTTGATAATCGGTTACGGGGGGGTGATATCTTACGTCACGTACGGGTACATGATAGACGGGGACCTCTCTCTCTGTCTCTCTCTCTCTCGCTCGCTCTCGCTCTCTCTTTCCACTACGTGTTGTGCTGAGATGTACTCGCACTGGTGGTGTTTGGCAGCGATAAGGACAAGGCCGATATTGAGGCCGCCATTTTTGGAGAGGTCACAGAGGTGCAAAATGTACCTGTAATTGTTTGCGTACCTGTACGACACACCCCGCTCCCCGGGACCGATTTCAAAGCTAGGCTTGATTGTAGTCCAAGAGGAAGAGGACGCCAAACTGTAAGTAGGTATTTTTCGGAAAACTCTCGCCGAGACGTCCCAACGCCGCTTTTTCGGCAGCATCAGACTGCTGTCTGTTTTAGACTACAATTCTTCAAGGGAAATCGAGTTTGAAAATCGTTGCCAGGGGTGGTGTGATATCTTGTGCAACCTACATACGGTACTGCTGTAGTAAGAGGCCCTGCTGCGCAAGGCGGTATTCTTCAAAGAGATTTGCCGACCTTATTCCGGGCACCCGGCACTATTCAGAGATCACACAACTTATTCAACGGCCTTATACAGCAGGACAACCGGGCTCATGCAGACACCACTGTTGTGGTAGGTGCTGAACATCGACTGGGAGAGAACCCAAGCAACGCACATGATGAATCAGATCAGTTGGAAAGCATTGCGCACAAAAGTATCCCTTTGTTGTCGCACAGAGAAGGAGTTGGGTCTTGTCTCTACCTCCGCACACACACCCTCTCAAACCAAGGCAAATAATTTCGTCAAGCCAAAACAGCAGTCAAAACGACAGATGTTGAAGTTGTTTGATTTATCGGGGTCCCGATCTGAAATGCTCCACCAGGTGGTATGTATCAGTACCGGATATCATGGAATATCAACGTGTTGCTACTGCTGCTTGGCTGTGCTGTCGAAGGCTGCAACTGCCGTCCGCAAACCTGGACCGAAATCATTCATCTTTCGCTGTCACAGACCCCATCTCCTAACTTGCGGGTCTACAGAAGTGTGTTGCTCATGTCAGTAGCTGCCTTGAGTACCCGTAGTCCAGGCCGTTGGGGTTTGTGGTGGCGAGTGCTAGCAGGGTCAACGTTGGATTGGTACCAGATTAATACACTAGTCGAACTCAGCTGTTCCCTTCTGTGTCACGGCCACAGCAACAGATCTGAGCAAGGCCACGCGCAGTTCCATGATGTCCTCTACTGCTACTGCTGTAGTTCACGTCTGGACTCCGGGAGGTCGTTTTCGAGTGTTGGTTTTTCATCATCGTCGTGGATCTATCATAGGACCCAAACCTATTTGACCGCCCTTGTCCGCACGCCCTTACTGGGTCACAGCGAATCAGAATAGTTGGTGTGCATGCAATCTTACCCACTATCTACCGGAACACGTTTGAGCTTGGAGCTTCGCGCGCAATGTGCAACGCATTGCGCCACGCGGGTATATACCGCACCTTGACGCAAGTTTTACCTAAAAGGCTAAATGCTATTCGGATTCGACGCACATCATGTAACCACCCTGTGCAGCGGTTTGTGTCCGAGGTTCAAAGCCTATGTAGTCATGGCGGTGTGAAAAGGTTGGTCACCAGGTTCTCATTCCCATTCTGATGCACGTCGTATTGAATAAAACAGATGCTATGCATTTTATGTAGCACGACGGTTAGTCATGAAAAGACGATGACTCGTGCCGAAAAAACCTCACTGGAGTGCCCGGCCTTCCCCGTTACCCTTGCTCACCGCTCCTTGCTTCTTTCGAAGCCGAATCGAGGCCATCGGCGGCCACAACCGACGATGCTGACAGACGTCGGTGCCGTCGAGACGCAGGTCTCCGCGCGGCGGCGGCGTCTGGATGGCTCCCCTTCGCCGACCTCATCACCTTCCAGCTCGCGTCGTTAGCCATGTGCGTCATCTGCCGCCATGCGCAGAAGCCGGTGCTGGTGAACGTTGCCAAGCGGACACCGAAGACGCTCTGGTCGATCGATCGCCCACGGATAGCTCACGAAAGCACCGACAGCGCCGACGAGGGCGAAGGTAGTGGGGGAGCGCCCGGCTTTGCCAGCCGTGTGCCTCGCCCGACCATCGAAGCCATCTCCTGGATCCGCGCATCGCCGTGCCCCGCTCTCCGCGACAAGCTTCCCTCAGAGGCGAAGCGGCTGGCGTTCGGGAGCAACTTCAACCACACGGTGGTCGGTATCCGCTGGCCCGAAGGGCTGGAGGAGATCAGGTTTGGGTCCAAGTTCTCTCAGCCCGTCGCCGGAGTCGCGTGGCCAGCCTCCCTGCAACGACTTTCGTTCGGACAGGCCTTCGACCAGTCGCTGGCGGACGGGACGTTTCCCGAAGGCCTGAAAGAAATTTCCTTCGGCTCAAAGTTCAACCAGAGCTTGCTACCAGTACAAGACAGCACGGACAAAGTCAAGGAGGGAGGGGTGCGGTGGCCCTCGACCCTGGAACGCATCACCTTGGGAAGCTACCGTAGGAGCTTGACCGGGGTGTCGTGGCCGCCCGGACTCCTTGCTCTCGTACTCACGGGCGAGTTCGACCTCCCTCTCGCCGGGATAACGCTGCCGGGCAGCCTGGAGGAGTTGGAGATCTCCTCGACCTTTAACCACCCAATCGACGAGGTGGACTTTCCCCGGGGCTTAAAGACGCTGACGTTCGGGAACCAGTTCAACCAGGCCATAGACAAGGTCAAGTTCCCGGCGGGGCTGGAAATGCTGAGGCTCGGGCTGTCGTTTGATCAGCCCGTGGCGCGGGTAGACTTCCCGGCGAGACTGTCGCACCTCTCGATCGACAGCAAAGCATTCAACCACCCCGTGAGCGGGGTCTCATGGCCAGATTTCATGACGGATCTTCACTTCGGGGACGGCTTCAACCAAGAAATCAACTCCGAGGCGTTGCCCCCACGATTGGTTCGGCTAGCGTTAGGGGACCGCTTCAACAAGCCGATCCTGGGCGTGGCTTGGCCTCCCGGGTTGCGTGACCTGTCGTTCGGCCACAACTTCAACCAGCCCGTCGTGGACGTCGTGTGGCCGTCGTCGCTCAGACGATTGCGCTTCGGAGCGCGGTTCAAGCAGTGTCTCTCGGGGACAGACTGGCCTACCGGACTGGAGACGCTCGACCTCGGCCACTGCCACATGACGTGGGGGTGCGGGCCCAAAGAGGGGTACGAGAATTGGTCACCACGGCTGGAGATTATCTCGCGGAAGCGCATTAGCACCCTTGGATGGCAGCGGAAGGAGGAATGCCGCTAGTACAATATTCGTCGGAAAGAGTGCATGAACATGTGGTAGCGAGCTTGCTGTCCGTGCCCCGTCTTTTGTGGAGCGTTTAATGTAGGGGCGTCTTGGGCACCAGGTTTGTCATCGGTCTGCATGCGCTGTTAATTCTGTACCCTCCGGTGATGTTAATGGTGTACATCAAAATAGGGTTGCTTCGCACTTTTGCACGCGTTGTGCCCTATATGGGGGCCGCTTTGGTGTTACGACCACGACGGCTTGTTGAACGGCATGCAGTAGATGCGGAGTGTTTTTTTTGGGGGGGGGTGGTAGTCGGTTGACAGAACAGTTTCCGACGCGCAACCAACACCCCCCCCCATGGACGAACTGGCTTGCCACGTGCGCCTATTGTAGACGTTTTCAATCTTATTGTGGATTTGGGCTGAGAACGACGGTGGAATAACATTGTATTGCAGTGTTACATCAGTCGGTGGAAAGAGGACCACCAGTGTTTCGTATTAGCTATTTCGCATCCAACCATCCAACGTGAGGAATTGGACCAAGCGCTAGGTGTCGCAACTTACTCATTTCTTCTCTTTATTAGCAAATGTACCTTACACACCAAAGTAGTGATTGCCGCGTGGATAGCACACGTTGCATACCCATGAAACCTGGCCCGGGATAATGATGGGGCAACCCAAACAGTTGGATGTGTGAGCGAGAGAGAAAGGAGGGGCCGCGTTCCAAGATGTACATTTTCGTAGATGTCGGAGATCCCATTTAACGGCCCATATCAAATAATCAATTCCGCCGCATCTCCGACGAAGCACATTTCTCCTCGCTGGCTTTCCTCTTTCGCGCTGGCCCTCTCATAACCACCTCCACTACTGCAGCCACCACTCTCTATCACTACCAATTGTCCACCTGGGCATTCAGTCGGTACTTGCTGGTGCTGCACTCTGCGTGGACGAAAGCCGTGAACGATAACCCTGATTGTTCTCTTCGCCCAAGTGCAATCAGCCTGTTTGAAATATATATGGTCGCCCGGGTGACGCGCCGCTGAGTAGTTTCCAAAACAGCCCCAGGTTTTCGCCCTCGCCTACACCGAGAGCTTCGCTCTTCGCGCTTGGTGATGACATCTAGCAGAGCTTACGCAGCTCTACGAGCAACAGCGGCGGCAGCGAGTGTTGGTGGAGGCAAAACTGCAGCGCGATCGACCGCTGGTGTCGATTTCTACGCTACTATTTCCAGCAGCACGGGTACGCTGTTGCAGCAAAAGAAACAAAAGTCGACAAGCGAGGTGACAGCTTCCTGGAAGGATCCGCGCGTCGGCGGCGGCGAAGACAGGAGGTAAGGGGAGAGGGAGTGGCCGTCTGCATCGGTGCAGCGGTGAAGCACGCCGGTGTGAATGTTTTTTTCAGCACAAGAAAACATAAACCTCGACAAAAAAAACAACTTCGGGGTTGTTCTTCAACAGAAGTGGGTTGCAGCGGGGAAACGAAAACCATCGAGATATCGAGATACGAGAATGCGTTTATCGATCGTTTCGCTGCATGTGTGCGGCATTCCATCACTGCTGTACAGCACCATAGACGGTACGCCTGCGTGGTGCGCGTGGGCGATAGCCGATACGTACCATCAGGCGTGGCGCGATAGCCGATCGTTATTGCGACTACATCGTCGGCGCTAGTTTTTTCACCAGATCGATGATAGGTAGTCTGGGAGTTGAAGCTCCTGTTGGACCCAAAAGGCAGATGTGGACGTGTGACTACATGGAGCTCAGGGGAATGAAGTGACTCGCTGCTTTTCAAGTGATACCAACCAGCACATGCTCGAGGACTTGGCGACGAGCTGGTGCAATGTAGCATAAATACGTCACGTGTGTGCGACTTGGACCCTCTTGCGTCCCGGCTACAGCAGAATGGCGAGAGAGGACACGCACCTGCCTGTGTGTGCGACTATTTAGCGGAATCATTTGTGAGGGAACCTACGTCGTGATGGTTACTCGCAAGAGCTGCTGTGACACGTTCTGGGTTGATTCCTTTGCTTCGTGTTGTAGCGGTGGTGTCACTCTTGAAACCCTCCCGTACGCGAATGCGCAAGCGCGTCATCACCGCTCACGACTTGATGTTTGTTCGTTCAACGTTGAACGGAACAACATCCAAGTGTTCCCTCGCTCTCTACTCTAAACACGAAGCCCGCGCTGTTGCTCTCTTTCACGCGAGGCGACAACCTATGTCGGCGCGTGCCCGCTCGATTTGGCCCAACGCTGCAGCCTTGCCTTATTGCTCGAATGAGGGGCATGCGTCCGATCGACAATTTTTTGTGATGTGACGTCTTTGGCACGCCACTTTTGCACTCTTGTTCTAAAATACGTACCCGGAAGGTATGGCAGGGGTACAGTGAATCATTTTTTGGGTCTGTTGACAATCTTCGGGAAAAGCTTTGGAAGTCAGATCCCCCGCTAGTGGCGATTCGAACGATTGTTCCTACTCCTCTTGCATGGGGGTCGGCTTTCGAAAACACTTGTACTCTGCAGAAGAAAACGCATGGTTGCAGCGAATCAATTTTGTGTCATGTCGATCTTCGTGAAAAGCTACGGAAGTTATGGATCCCCCGCTTGTTGCCATTCCGACTACATATCGTTTCTGCACGTCTTGCAGTGGGGTTGGCACCGCACCGCCAACGACATCGGCATCGCTCGAGCATGGCGGCCTCCGTTCGTCATCCGCAGAAGCCTCGGCATTCGATCAGCAGGAGCAACAGCAACATCAACAGCAACAACGTTTTCCCCCGAACGTCGACGGGTCGACCATCCCCGCGCCCCCAACCGTTAAACGCTCGCTCTTCCACAACCCGTTCATGGTGAGGAGCCCGGGTCTGCAGCAAGAACTCCAGCAGACGCAGAAGCAGCAGAACGATCCAGGATCTGTCCAAGGTGTGTGGGGGTCTGGGTCCGTGGTCTTGGGTGGTTATGATGGAAAATATATATTCTTCATGACTTCGAGTGTATCTGCACGAGCAGGTGTTTGGGGACGAAGGACGTTGAACATTGTGGGCCAATCAACACTCTTGGAAGCGGAAGCTTCGTTGGACTAGATACCTCAGCGAGAAGGGGAGTGACACAGTATACACGCATTGTGTTTTGTCCAGCTCCCACCCAGACCTGCGTCTCCCCTTAAGCACAAGAAAGGCACGGAAAATGATTGGCAGCGTTAAAAAATGAAGGCAAGCATTGCAGGACGAAATGTGGAGAAAAACAACAATACATCTCCTCTGATTTAACCTTCCTCCTGTGTGACCGCAGCTGGTGCGTCAAACATGTACCGAGCGGAGTTTCTGCCACCTCGAGTAGACGGGTCGAAACCACGCACGCACACACAACAACCCAAAACGCTCGGCACCAAAGCGTTTACGCGACACTCCCTCGTGTCCTCGCGGTGTTTCTCTCATCTCCCTTTCCCGGCTGCCTCAACAACAAACGCGTCTCTGTCTCTTGATGCGCGACGCCCAGAGTCGGCAACACCAGCGGCGACAGCGGCGACAGCGGGCGACAAGTTCCACCCGGAGTTGTCCAACCCCGTCGAGGTGTTCCCTCTCGACACGGAGCTGCGCCGGGAGATCGGGGCCGCGGTCGACGCCGAGATGCACCGAGATCTTGGCGCGGCCCTGGCCGCGGCTACCGTCGCGCCGGGCACCGCTCTTCACCCGGACGTGGCCGCCGTCCACGAGAGGGTGGTCGAGGAAGAGCAGGCACGAGTGGCGGGGATGAGGGTCAACTTCGACGACGCCTCCGCTTCGTACGCGTCGTTCACGGACATGGAGTTACTGAGGTGAGGCCAGCGAGAAAATGGGTGATTTTGTTGTTGTTGTTGTTGTTGTTTTGTTGGTGTTTGGCTGTTGTGTCTGTTGTTGCTAGCGGGTGGCCGTATTGGTTGAGGTTCTCGTGAGGATTGGAAAAAAGCCCTTTTGCGAGTCTTCTTCTCGCCATGGATATTTTTGGGCGTGTACAGATGGATGACAATTCAGTCATTTGCTTCGACACCACGACGCGTTCATGGTCGGAGCACTCATTCCAGGTGACGACACCCACTTCTTGCCTTGCCGTCAGGACGTCATGTCCGTACGTGCATTTGTACTTGGGATGAAGCGTCCCGATTTTTCGTAACCCGCTGTCACACCCGTATGGTGCTGTCAAACCCGTGATGATCGCATACCTTCGGACTGCTGTTACGTACCTGTGCTCGATGCGTGCGATGCAAGGACTGTGCCACACTGATCTCGAGGTTTGAAAATCTCACCTCCATCTTTCACAACATCCAGGAAGTACGGTTAGTTCTAATAGCAAATACAACAGTAAGATATATGATATCCAACCGAAGCTGAAAAAAGCACACCTCCTGCATACGTCGCTTGACGAAGCGGTGGGTGCGGTGCGCCTGTGATACTGTTGGCCCCCTGGTTCCTGATCCATCCTGTCTGTTTCATGAAATGCGCGTGCTCCTCTCGGTTTGGCAGGGCTTACGTGGTGCTGCGAGCATGCGCGATAACGCCTCTCGTGGAGAGGAGCGAAACGCTTCTCAAGATAGGGTGCGTGGTGTGTTGTTGTTGTTGTTGTTGTTGTTGTTGTTGTTGTTGTTGTTGTTGTTGTTGTTGTTGTTGTTGTTGTTGTTGTTGTTGTTGTTGTTGTTGTTGTTGTTGTTGTTGTTGTTGTTGTTGTTGTTGTTGTTGTTGTTGTTGTTGTTGTTGTTGTTGTTGTTGTTGTTGTTGTTGTTGTTATTGTTGTTGTCATGGTTGTTGTCGTCGTCGTCGTTGTTGTTGTTGTCGTCGTCGTTGCCGTTTGTTTCCAAGCATTGTGTGGCGACTCGGTATCTTCTTCCATTTTCTGCTTGTCATATTGTGGCGTGGTATCGTAGTGGGGTATCCTATCATCTGGTTGGTTAGTTGTTTTTCACGTCGTGTGTGACCAACCCGTGTAGAAAGGGCCTGCAATGGAAGCCGTGGTCGTAGATGAAACATTTCAATCGAGACGGTGTATATCCAACATGTTTCACGTGCGTGCAGCGCGCTGTGAGCGTTTTTGTCATGTCTCATCGTTTTGAGGCTTCTACAAGAGCTTACATTTTGTGAAACACACTCGATGTTGCTCTTCTTGTGTCTTGGGTATCTTTGAAGCCCTCACCCCTCTGTCCCCAAGACAGTAGCTACGTGTTGGGAGACGCAGGACGCATGAATGGCGAAATGTGTAGTGGGAACAGCAGTGGGGCGAACAGCGAATATGCCGAACAGAGGGCACTAGCGATGACAGCAGTGGGCCCACACTACGCATCAAGACGCTGCCCCCCCCTCGTCTCAGCTGCGATGAGATGCATATACAGCTTGATCACGTCATTCAGAAGAAGCTAGCAATCATCCTCCTCCTGCCTCTTTGATGTTCTCATGTGACACGGATCTAAGGTACGGGGTGCTCGGCGAGAGCATCACCAACGCTATTCTGGGGAAGACGTTCTTTGCGCATTTCTGCGCGGGCGAGACCGCAGAACAGGTGGGAGGCGGGTAAACGGTGATTGTGCCGCCTATTTTCGATTCAAATCGCAGGGCCCGATCGTGTTTTGGCTTTTGGGTTGGCCGCAGTCCGACCACTCGGTTTTTCTATGTGAAATAGTTCGTGAACAAGAGCGATTTCTTCCCAGTCTGCCAGAAAACACCGAAAACACAACCTGTTTTTGTCAAGACGTCATGCTTGCCCTTCCCACCTTGTAGCACTGCACGGCCATATTGTTACAGGAGCGCAAACCGCTCCTAGACAATTCGCTATTCCTCCTCGCATGACCCGGGCACGGCTTGGGGGGCGGACTGGTGCTCTTATGCCGAGCTTGTGAGCTCTCGAGCCGTGAGCTGTATGAGAGCTCCCGGCAGGCTTCTGTCGCGGGGTCGTTCCCCCATCTCTTTTTACTCAGCGACATGTAGATGGGGGCGGGCGCTCTGGACCTGACCCACTCTGCACGCTTGCGGACTCCTGTTCGATTCCATTCGACCTCTTCACACATTCTCGTTTACCGTTCCCCGCTGTCGGTGTCCATTCTTCTCCTCCCTTCTCGTCCTACTGGTATATACCTATGCCCACGTTGATGCCCTCTCTTGGTTACCCTATCCGATATCCGCATCTCTTTTTTCTCTCTTGTTTCCTGAATTCTGCCCCGAGGAACAGGTGGGGCGGCGGGCGGGCGCTCTGAAGACGAGGGGCATCGGAGGCATTCTCGACTACGCCGCGGAGGTCGACTTGAGGCCGGCGGAGGAGAGGGCGGAGAGAGAAGCCAAGAAAAGAGAAGCCGGCGACGACAGGCTGTTGCGCGAGGTTCGTGATTGTGTGGTGTGTACGGTTTTTTGTGGATGTGGTGGTGTTTTCGTGTCCGCTCCTCGATGCTTGTGTGTGTCTGGACTCTGTAGTTTGAGTTTGGTATTGTCTTTCGCTCTGTGGTTTGAAATTGAGCCAGGGATAAGCCTGTGTTGGATCCATACTGAGGTCTATCCTGCTCCGAAGCTTTTCTGCTAACCTTCGCACACGTCCCGGAAAAAGTGCCCTTATTTTGATGTTGGTTATTTTCCCCCTCAATACTTTTTCCAGGAGCCTGCGGCGTGCCGCACCTACGACTACATGGGAGAAGCGGCCTGCGACGCCCGCCTCATGACCTTCCTGACGTGCGTCAGGGCCGTCAGGGACCAGACGCCCGGGGGTTTCGCGGCGATCAAGCTCACGGCTCTGGGAGACCCGGTACTGCTCAGCCAGATCACCACCTGCGTGCACGTGAGAGAGCCATTCAGACAACGAAAAATAGTTTCACAACAACAAATGGAGCACAGGGACGATATATCCAGTTCCGTGTTGTTGGCACAAAGTCAACCAAGACATCGATCGTAGACACGCGAACGTAAATTGGCTAGAGTTGCCCTATTTTAGAGGTTACGCTGAGTAGACCACCTTCAGAGACCCTCCCAAGGCGGATGGACTTCTCACGAACTTTGGACATCTGGCGAGTATTAATAATCACATGATCGACTTTGTCCAGCACATATTCAAACGGTTACATTGTGGGCTGAAAACAAAAAGTAGGCGTTTTCCCTCTGGCTGGGTGTTATGGGCCGCTGTATTTGATGTGTGCATGAGGTTGACATGTGGGCAGCCCGATCGTTTTCGCCTTTTTCAACTTCACCATGCATTATACACATTGCCCAGCGTCCGGGCAACGGAGACAAAGGCAAGTTTTTCTTCCGAAAGGCAAACAAGAAGGTGGTCGTGTCGCTACCTTCAGCTGATGTGGGGCTGTAAGATGCGTTATGGTGGTTTGACGCCCACCTACTCTCCTTGTGGCCCTGCTGATTTCTCGTAATTTTATCTTTTCATAGTTGGTTCGAAAGCTGTTCGAGGACTTCGACAGCGACCGCGACGGGTTCGTCAGCCACAAGGACTTCGAGGAGGGATACAGGCATGTTGCCATCGCCGTTGTTGTTGTTGTTGTCATCGTCGATCAAGTGTTCATTCGTTGACAAGTCCTCTCATCATGTACCTGCCATCCCTACCCCTATCGTAGACACTTCTTTTTCTTGCCGCTTGCGTTTCATGGTCACCAAACCAGTCACCAAACCATATCCTTCCATCATTGTTCCGTTTTCGGCTTCAACGACGACGACGACGACGACGACAACAACAACAACAACAACAACAACAACAACAACAGGCGTTGGTTCGTATCGGAATCCGAAGAGGACAACACCACGCTGCTCAACCTCATGAAACGTCTGGACCCGAACAACAGAGGCGTCATCGACTACGTCGGCTGGAGCAACCGGATGCGTCTGGACAACCTGGCGGAGATTTCGGCGTGAGCCTTAAACTTGTAGCTAATTTCAGGGCCGTTCCAATAGGCACAAATGTCCCGGAAGAAAACACAGTTAGTTCTTTTATGTAGATATTGGTCTCGTCACTACGGACGTGGACGCGTCCCCTCCGCCCCGGGGCCGATGGGGTCCGCGTCGCTAGGCAAGAGCGACAGGATCTCGGAGCAAACAATCGAGGTCCTCACATACTCTTTGGCATCTCTCTCTAGAGCACCCCGAGAGCACAAGTCCGGCACACGGGAAAAGCAGAACGCGGCTGGTAATTCCCTCCCGAGTGTTATTCGACACAAGAAAAATCCACGCCCTTCGTTCTGTACACGACGATGGTACTTAATCTGTCAGGCACTGCCGCATCCCGGGACCCATGGCGGCGGCAGCCCTTAGCGAGAACGGGGTGGCCCTGAAGAAGACCATGTACCGGCGCATCGCCACTCTTGCCACCGCCGCCGCGAGCTCCGGGGTCCGCCTCATGATCGACGCCGAGCAGAGCTGGCTTCAGCCTGCCATCGACAACGAGGTCTACAGCCTCCAGGTGCGCGTGTGACCTCACTACGAAACGATAGGCATTGGGCGGCACGGGAGATACTTTCGGTGATTTTGCCGAATCTACACTTAAACTTCTTACTTGCTGTTGCTGTTGCTGCTGCTGCTGCTGCTCGAGTACTATAGTATCGCCACTATTCATGTAGAACGAATATGCCTGCTGGACGTTTCGCATGGCAATAGCCACAATTTCGGTGTATGATTCTTTTTTGTTGGGTCCCATCAGACGCCGAAGAGTTGACCTGGCTGCAGCTGGCCACCGACGACGAGGTCTTTCAGCCCACAGATAGGTTGCTACTCGTGGCTGGGCGACGAATCGTTGCAGGAGTGCGCTTTTGTGTAGTGCTGTGGGTTGTCGGCTGACGGGAATGCAGCTTGTTGCTGTTAAGGACAACACTTTTTTCTCCTAAGCCTACTTCTACGATAGGCCATGGACAGCACGAAATGACGACTGAATGTCTCACAAATGTTCCGCTCCGCCAGGAGAACAACATGAGCTGTTGCTTGTCACGGGTGTTCGGTTGAGTAGTCCGGGGTCAGGGACAGGAAGAACGAAATTTCGCAGCACAACCCCCATCGATCAGTTGTTCCTTAGGAAGCAACCCAAGAACAGAAGCAGTTAGCGTTCTTCGTCTCGTAGTTGCCTGAAGGACAACACGATGTTAGACAATGGGCAACAAAGGCAGAGAGACCGGCGCCAGGCCATGTATTTTCTCCCTTCTTCGCCTGAAGAAGCTGAGCGCCCCTCAATATTGATCTTCATTCCCCCTGAAAAAGACGTAACTCCCCCACCCCTCTATGCCCCAACTTACCTCTTTCAGCTGGAATTCAACACCGAGTTCCCGACGATCTTCACGACGTACCAATGCTACCTCAAGGACTCCTTGGAGAGGCTCAAAACGGACCTCGATCGAGCCGCCAGGGGAGGGTGAGAGACACAGCAGCGTGATATATTCAGCCTTTCGGTTGGGAATGCTCACACACGAGTGGATGTAGACACATGCCTTACCCGACGCAAAGCCACATCGACATGTGTGCTGTAACACTTGTGAGAACCCAGCACCAGTAGTCGCCGGTTCCACGTCAATAGAACGCGTCCATGCGTGCCCGCGCCTCTCAGACGCTCGTCGACATCGGATGTTTGCCAACTCTTTGCTGTCTTCTTACTGTCTCGTTTCGGACTTTTTTTCACCTGTCGTGGTGACAGGTATGTGTGGGCAGGAAAGCTCGTTCGAGGGGCGTACATGGTGTCCGAGCGGGAGAGGGCCAAGGAGGAGGGCTACGAGTCGCCTGTCTTCGACGTAAGCTCCTATTCGCAAGTTTTGAAGGAATCGACTATTAAGGAATAATAAATACACACACAGAAAGACTACCCATTCGAGATATGTTGCTGTCGAATAGCCTCGATCGTGTTTTCTTGAAGCTGACAGAAGGAAGGAAGGAAGGAAGGAAGGAAGGAAGGAAGGAAAGAAGGAGGGAAGGAAGAAAAGGAAGGTCATGTGCCCATTGCTATTTTTTGCTCGATCAACGTACGCAAGCGTAACTCCATCTACTTCTACGAGGATGTTTCAGGATCTTTGCGGAGGACACGCGGAGTTTCTTTTCGACGCACCACGTCGCACAGCACAGCCGTGAGGTGCAACGCGTGTACACAGCGGCCGTGCTTGCGCGGAAGGAAGAAAGAACGACCCTTCGGGTGTAGGCAGTCAAGAGCAACGTCGTTGTTACGTGCTCTTGTCAAGCTGCTCGCTTGTCGCCTGACATAATTCACCCCATGTTGCGTTCATCTTGTTCCTTTTTCACTCGCTTATTTCGTTGCGCTGTGCATTGATCCCTCCCTCTCAGGCGATCGAGGAGACCCACGCAAACTACGACGCCGCCGTCACCCTGGTGCTCGAGCACATGGCCAAGGGCCAGCGCGCAGAGGTCATGATGGCCACGCACAACCAGAAGAGCATCGAGCACGCCATCTCCCTGATGCAGAAGCTGGGCATCCGCCGCCAGGACGGAGTGTCGTTCGGGCAGCTCCTCGGCATGGCGGACAACATCACGTTCCCGCTCGGAACGGGCGGCTACAAGGTGCGGTGGTTCCGGCGTCACCTCTGGAAGAGCTGCTGCCTACGGGAATACACAGCAGTTCTACCGATTCGCGGCCCTCATCAGCCATGACCTGCTGCTGATGCTGCTGCCCCCCCGCCCCCCCCCCGCCTCGACCCCAAATGGAACACTGTAAAGCGTTTGTGCCCGACACAAACACGTCCCGCCCTCCACTCTGTACGGGAGCCGCATTCGGTCTCACGCGATACCCCGCGCTTTCCTAAACGCCCCCCCCCCCCGTTTGTCTCACGCTGGAAAACAGCAAAAACCTTGCTTCAACCGAACGCAACATCACATTTCCGCACGGAAATCGGCGCTTGGTGCGGCGCATCGGGCAGCCGTGCCTTTCGACACCGATGGTGCTTTTGGAGCATGTACTATTCGTTTGACGTCGTTTGCTCCTCCTTTTTTATTTGCTCCTCCTGCTTCCCTCACACGCAAACGTTCTTGCTGATTTCGTATTCGCCGGTGTGTCAACCCCCCGCCACAGCCCGCCACCACAGCCCGCCTTGTTGGATTGATGTTCATTTTCTTTTGCGTTTTGGTCTCCAACTCACCCGTGTGGATAACAGCCCAAACCACCTCTCTACTCTTCGACAAACTCCACTCCGTCCCTATGCTCTAAGCCAGAAGGTCGATTGACGGAGACTTAATTTGGTATCGTGGCGTTCGTTGTGTTGTTGTTCGTTGTCGGTATGAAATTTCTCTTCTATTCTTCTTTCTTCGCGTGTGCTTCCAGGCGTACAAGTACATTCCCTACGGCAAGGTCGGGGAGACGATCCCCTACCTGCTGCGCAGGGCGCAGGAGAACAGCGGCATGCTCGGCGGCGCGAGCCATGAGCGCGGCCTCCTGGTGAAGGAGATCCGCCGTCGCGTGTTCGGGGGTTGAAAAAACCAACAGCAGAATCGGAATTCTCTGGGAAAGCGACCTTCTCGAGTCTGCTGCCAGCAGCTACTAGCTTCTTCTACGCTGCTTCGGCACCGGATTCGGTGATGATGTGCACGTAAACGTAACGTACGGCGTCTAGGTGGAACAACACGGTGGACCGCATCATGACGATGTACTTCCTGGAGAAGAAGAAGATTTCCTCCCGGAGTCCGTGTTCTAACACAATCTTTCTAGCGTCAGGTAGACGCCGCCTTCTTGAGACGTCCTGTGACCAGGTCGGTATCAGAAACTCCTCCATCTGTTTGGGTAGTACTCTCGTAGGGATGTTGTGAGACTTGTGTTATTTGTGGCCCTCGTGTTATTTGTCTATAGCGGGCTGGGGGATGCATAGCTCAGGACATCTTCGGGGTGATCTTTGAACACGCTAGACCCTGCTGCGTGTAGTGTGGATGCCATAGGTGGCGACCGTATGTTTAT